CCCCACACTGAGTTTTCTCAATAGGGTTGTATCTTCAGGGATGAAAAATATTCTTTTCCTAGAGAGTTATGTTTCCTGAGGTGTAGCCTCTGTGTCACATCCAACAGGGCTTCTTTTTTTCATCTAGTTAAACATACTTAGAGAATCTACTAAGTGATCTGTAACCTGCTGACATTAGAGATAAAAGAAGAACAAAAACCTTTTTGTTACTTCATCACAATCTAGACATGCAGGCAGAAAAGTAGACATAAATTTCAAGTCTACAAGTAATAGTCAGAACTATATAAAATTGTGGTATATGGGAGCTTCCATTTAGTCAGTCACCCGGGTTCATCTCTTCCAGGTGTTATCTACTCAAATAGCTCTATATTTGTTTCTAAATAACTGAGTGCCCCTCATCCCCATACCTTCGCTGGCTCCCTGGGATTCCTGGACATCCTATGATTCAGCAGCTAAAGCAGCAGCTCTCAGCCTTTTTGGCATCAGAGACCTATTTCATGAGTTCATGCTGCTATGAGAATCCAATGCCACCACTAATCTGACAGAATGCGGAGCTCTGCTCACCCACTGCTTACCTTCTGAGGTCTAGAGGTTGGGGACCCCTGAGCTAAAGGGTTTATATCTGATATAGTGGAAGAACCTTGAGACTCTGCTCCTAAGCTACAAAAACCATGCAGTCATTTAGTATTTTAAATAACATCCACAGATATAATGAAAGGGTTTAGGGAGAGCAGAGAAGGGAACAGCCAAGCCCAGACCCCCAAAACTCTTGTGCTTCATCCCTAGGGTCCCCAAAATACAGTTTTTCTTAACCGGTGAGTACTGGAAGAAGCCCTTTGTCACAACTGTCACCATTTGGAGAGATGGAGTACAAGAAATCCTAGGTTGGCTTCTTCCTCCTCTGAGACTTTCTTTGTCAACTCTTTTTATTTGTGCTCTGAAAGGGAGATCTGCTAACAGTAACTTCAGCAAAAACTTCATATTTGAGAGAATATGAAGGGCTAATCCAGTGTCTTGGGATCATGAAGACCAAATAAGTAACAGTGATTTAAAGATCAGAGTAAGGATCAGGCCTGGTGGCTTTCGCCAATAATCCCAACATTTTAGGAGGCTGAGGTGGCAGGATTGCTTAAGCCCAGGTGTTTGAGATCAGTCTAGGCAACATATTAAGACTTCATCACTACAAAAAAACCCCAAAAAATTAGCGGGGTGTGATGGTGTGTGCCTGTAGTCCCAGCTACTCTGGAGGCTGGGAAGGAGAGCCTGAGCCCAGGAGGTTGAGGCTATGGTGGGCTGTAATGGTGCCACTGCACTCCAGCCTGAGTGACAGGGTGAGACTGTGACTCAAAATAAATAAAATATAGTATAATAAAGATCAGAAGAAGGATAGCAATAGCAGCACATCATGACTTGCTATGGATAATTTCATTAACAAGTCATTTGGTGTTAAAGCTTACAATATTATCTTTATTTGTAGTATTTATGGAACCCACCAAAAGTAACTGACTAGATAACACAGGAGGGCATCGTGATGATTCTTCATAGAACAAAGACTTCCCCTCCACATACCCCACAGTGCTGAGCAGAGGGGCAACATGCTCAGTGAAAATTTTTAATTCAAGGAGTTGAATTCAGTATTTTGTGAGTTAACAATTAATAGTACCAATAATGGCTGATGTTTTCTGACCATTTTTGACATGTTCTCAGTGATTTGCATAGACCATCTCATTTAAATCTCACAACCACATTTTACATAAATACTAGTATTATTAATTCTCTTTTATGCTTGAGGAAAGTGGTTCAAATAATTTAACACTGATGTGGTCTGAGTTGTCCCTTCCAAATCTCATGTCAAAATGTGATCTCCAATGTTGGAGGTGGGGCCTGGTGGGAGGTGACTGAATCATGGATTCCTTCTGAATGACTTGATGCTGTTCTCCTGGTAATGAATTCTCTCGTTCACGCAATAACTGATTGTTTAAAAGAAGCTGGCACCACATCCTCTCTCTCTCGTATTTCCACTCTTGCCATGTTACATGCCTGCTCCCCTATTGGCTCCCTTTGCCTTCCACAATGAGTAGAAGCTCCCTGAGGTCTCATTGGAAGTCAAGCATGTGCCAGTGCTGTGCAGAATTGTGAGCCAAATAAACCTTTTTTCCTTTATAAATTACACAGCCTAGGGTATTTTTTTTATAGCAAGGCAAAATGAACTAATACAAATACCTTTCTCGAAGTCAGAGTTAAAAAATGGTGATGCTTGGATTTAAACCTGTAATTCTGTAGGTAATGATAATGAAGAATACAGAATACCAAAATAGAGGAAAATTAAATGTTATTGCCTTGGAAATGCCTATGCCATTATTTGCACCAAAAGTGGTGTTACCATAACTAAGACTTGAATTCTTGAAAAACTTACTGATCTGGATAGGAAGGAAGAAAATTACTGTTTTCTGATATTCTTCAAAGAATGTGCCTGACTACTTCCTCAATGAATCTAGACACATGCTTATAAAACAAAGATCAATTGAAATGATCAGTCATGTGTTCATTGAATATTTACTATCCGACTCGTTCCTAGAATTATTTGCCTTGGATACAAGAGGAACACTTATGTATTCTGGCCTCATATCCTAAGGACTGGTCCTAATTGTTACAAAACACATGACTTTTACCTGCTGGTTTTCCTTTAAGATCAATATTTCACTTTATCATATTTTTATGCTTTAAGATTCCTTGAGCAAATACATGAAATATTAAATAACAAATGCATTTATATTAAAATTAAAATGATCATACAGTGTTTTAACTCACCAAGTTACCTTTCATCCCTTTCTTTTTAAATTTATCTGCCCCTCTTAAACAAATGACAGTTGTAATGTGTCATGTTAAGGTGTTCATTAACTATTTGATCTTGGTGATTTTAACAGTGTTGAAAAGAATCTATACAGGATTTTGTTAGATTGCTCTTGAACATGTGTGTTTGATCTTTCTTCTGATTTCAAAGAAATAAAAAAATACACATTAAATATAGTTCTTTGAATGTCAAATGTGTATATGATTTTGTAGCTTGCCAAGTGTTAATTGATCTCTTTCCTGGTGATGATACAAATAGAATTCACAGCCAATTAGTTTGCAGTCATGAATCTTTACTCCTTGACAAAGTGACAAAGTCTTTGTTGAGAAGACTTTAAAAAATGAAGAAATTGCTTGGATCCCCTCACCTGAAGTCTTTGCAGGGATCAGTTACCTTCCAGAAAATTTGAGAAAAATGAGACTATGGATACTCATATTACTCATGATATGTTTTGGTCTTTAAGGTAGTTTGATCAAAGGGACTGCATTAAAATTTTAGAAATACCATTAAGGAGTTAGATGCACTATTGCAATAATCAGAATGAAATATTGAATAGAGAAGAGTATTCTCCTTTCTAGTCACACAAATCATACTGTGTTTCAGTGTTGGAAGATAAGGTTTTGGTGTTATTGAATGAAATAGCTGCAATCATACAAAGTCTCTGATGCAATAGGCATGAGACGCCAATTATAAGATAAAAAAAGCTCTTTTCTTTCAAAGTAAGAAAGGAAATTTCATTAGAATTTCTTTTGAGTTCTTTGCATTGGCTCATAAGAGATATGAATGGCTGTGACAGATAAATGAAGTCATTTCATAAGGGCTCTACCTACATTTTAAACGAATTATTTACTATTATTAATTTGGAAACAGCAATCAGATGTTTGAGTTTGTTGATAGGGGAACAGCTAACTAAGGTGACTCCCAGCTTCGTTTCAATCTTTGAAAATCTGAAAAATGATGAGAAACCAAATAGCAAGTGTATTAGTAATTATTAATCACTTTTTGGACAGTGTTGAAAGTCTCAAGAGTATTATTTTTCAATTTCATAGATAGGCAAAATTTCAGGGTTTAATTTGTCAAAAATCAGCTGAACCATATGACTGGACCCATTTGCAAGTCCAAATCGCAACAACTGAAACATGTCTTTTTCCATATATGCAATAGAGGGTGAAACTTTCAAATAATTCCATGCAGTTTGGAGGCTAACAAGATCCACCAACAAATTGGCAGCTATGCCACCTGTCAGATTAAATTGTGTTTGGCTTTGTAGGGCACTGGACCAGCTAGGACATTAATGTTGGATGCATATAAGAATGGCTCCTAATAATCATGTGAATGGGAATATTTTTTAGAGTTTGAAATTATTTTTTAGCATATGAAAAACAGTATTAGTTTTCCTCAAATGTATGCTCTAAGATGACAGTCAGTGTTTCCAGGAGTGCATGCAATCTCTTGTGGGTCAAGGAGGAATGCCCCACAGAGAAAGGCATTTTCAAAGGGCACTGTGTTGTTTGTTGCTAATGAGAAGTCATGGTACAGATCTGATTTGTAATACTACATTAACTATCAATAGGCTTTGTTTTAGCAGAAACAAAAAATGAAAATGAAGTGTTTGATGGAGAGCTTATAGGATGAAACTGACACTCTATTCCTCAAACATGTTTGTATTCACAGTGTGTAGATATGGATTTTAAGAATGTTCATGATTACATCATGAAGCAGGAAATGCATGTGAAGGGTGCACAGACTCACAGACACACACACATACATGCACACCCTTCTTACATTCACAGTTTTTGCATATTATCGGGAATAATAATAAAATTGATGGCACATTGTTAAGTCATACTATCGCTCTCTATGATAAGTGCCAGATAAAATAAAGCAGTATTTCTGATTTCTTGAAAGAGAATGACAAAATTAAACCAAGCTGCCTGTGGCTTTGTCCAGTGGGGCATTCTAATTGACTCTCAAGTCATTAATCAGTTCCCAATCAATCTATTTTGCCAGCAGCAGGCAGTTAAGTCTCCATTACCAACCATTCATCATACCATACCCTAATTCACTGCACCATTAGCTATGGATTAGGCCTCTGTTAGAATAACTAAGTGGCAATTGCTAAATGCAAAGAATTCTTGTTATTCACCTCAGCCACTGGGATCCCTTCAGGTGGTCGACACTGGAGTAAGACTTCCTGTTCCAAGGATACTTCCTTTCCTAGGGGCTCTTGCTCAAATGTCTTCCGTAGATCTGGAAAGTACAGGTGATAAGATATATGTCAAAACTCAATACTGCTTATTCATTTTTAGAAAGTGCAAAAAATATTCTATGTGCTGGGAATTATAGAATTCAGAGGCTGTGAACTGTTCCTACTTTAAACTTCAGTGGAAGCCTTTGGAGATCCTCTTCTTTTTTCATTTTTATTTTTTGAGTCAGAGTCTTACTCTGTCACTCAGGCTGGAGTGCAGTGGTACTGTCATGGCTACCACAGCTTTAACCTGCTGGGCTCCTGTGATCCCTCTGCCTCAGTCTTCCAAGTATGTGGAACTACAGGCGTGATCCACCAAGCACAGCTAATTTTTTGATTTATTGTAGAGACAAGTCTCACCATGTTACTCAGGCTGGTATCGAACCCCTGGGCTCAGGCAGTCCTCCTGTCTCCGCTTCTCAAAGTGCTGGGATTACAGGCATGAGCTACCACAGTGTCCAGCTGAGAACCTCATTTTAACAATTAGTGAAGTCCATTAATTTCATTTCTATGGTATTTCTTGATTAGCAACGGTGATTATCACGTTTTATTCAAAAGACCCCTATTCTTATGATTCTTATACACAAATAACCTTATGTAAATAAGTGTTTTCCTCTTTTCTCACAATGGATAATATTAAAGCTGTAGTAATGTTGAAATTTTTTGATCAACACTCAAAAGCGAGTTTCTGTTTCAGAGTGGAAAACAGAACACCGGAGTCCTTAAAGACTGAGTATAACTTCTTCAGTTGTCTCAAATATCAGGCAGAGAAAAGAACAACGATTGAGAAGAGCCCAGACATATCTCTATAACTAACCATGTGGTCATTCTTCAATTGGAAGACTAAATAGTCATTTCTGCTCAAAAATACCAAATATCTAATTATATATTTATATAGTTATAGTTGTTATAAGAATATGCAGCTGAGATTTAAAAACTGTTACAGATGGGCACAAAAATGTTAGAAACCAATTTGTCATTTTAAACATGTCAAAGGCATGCTTCCAGAGACAGATTTAACAAAACCATCATTGAATACCATATAAATTATTTTGTTTTTGTGTTTTGCCTTTAAACTCTATAAAAATTGTATCTAATTTCTAAGGTTAAAAATTAATTCAGTCATAGAGCTTTGAGGCAGCGTTTTTAAAGCCCACAAAATTTTTTATTTTGTGCTGGCACAGTTCAATTCCTTCCAATAAAAAGTTATTAGAATTTTATCCAGTGAATTCTAATAAAAAATTAATGCCTCTGTACTGTCACCCACATTCCTGATAAAGACTAGCATTTCAGCATCCTGAATGAATGGGTAGAAACATGAAGACTCAAGAGTTATGTTCCTAATAGAGTCCTATCAGAAAGCACTACCTGGAAAAAATGCACTGAGAAAAAAATCCTTTGTTACACACTTGCCATTTTGTTGAATTTCCTGGCAGAAAAAAAATCTTCAAGATTATAGAGGTTGTGAAGAAATCATGGATCTGTGTGGGTCTGAGGTAGTACAAGACAAGAAACTTTCCAAAGGTGATGAAATTTCTGTCAGAAGGGCACTTTTAACTTGATTATCGAGAAATTGAGTATATTTTAGAAATGAACATTAAGACTCCACAGAGTCATCATAACTTGAGCAATACCTAAATCATGTCCTTATTTTACATATGAAGGATATGCTTACCAAATTACTCAAAGCCTCCCAGCAAAATTAATGCTGCAACAGAAACTGTGGACACTGAATTTTTCACACTGTGCCATCCCACATGTCCCAGATGTCCCTATAACATCTCTTTTGGTTAACCTGTGCTCTTCCAATGGAAACATTAAAAACCTTCTCTGAGATGGTAGGTTCTCTTGGTTTTTGATCTGCCTTTAGATAAATTCTTGGCAAATACCAATAAAAAGAGCAGCTATAAATAATATTTATGGGCTTAAGTGTACTCAACAAGGTATGCCTTGTTTGCAAAAAATGATTTTGAACAACTGTTGCCTGATGTGAGGTAGGGCAAAGACCTAATGACTGGAATGAGTGCTCAAATTAAATAACATATTGACTCACTCTCACAATTAAATTAATCAAGATGTAACAAAAAGAGGGCTAAGAACAAGAAAAAGTGAGTTATATATATATCCAAATAGTCAGACAATTTCATTCATTATTTATTACTATGTTATGGTAGATATTACTATGTTATGGTTTATTAGGTATGAAAGTGTATACTATTCAGAACCAAGATGAGAAAGGTAGGCTGGAGTCTGTTGATGAAAAGCCTTTCTGCTGTGCTAAGGAATGGTGAACTCCTAAAAGCTTCTGAGCAAAGGAAGGAGATCAGATGTCATACTGCTCTCAGAGGCATATGGATTGAGGTGCTGGTGAGGAGTCAGAAGTTAGTTAGGGACCCACCTGGTCTGTCAAGTTGGCACCAACACTAAACGACATAGTAGTATCAAGTTAGGCGGGGAAGTAGGGAGAAAGACAACAAATCCATTTTGGTACATGTTCAATTTGGTGAATCTGTAGGATACTCAGATTGAAAAGTCCTGAAGTATAGACCATTGTTTCTATTTGCTTGTGGGACTGGATCATTCCTTGTGGCTGGGTTATCCTTTGCATCCCTGGACTCTACCCACTAGAGGCCAATAGAACCTCCTCCCAGTCATGACAAAATAAATGCTTCCAGACAACGCCAAATGCCCCCAAGGAGAATAAATGCCCCCAGTTGAGAACCAGTGGCCTAGAGCTTGAAAAATAAGTCCAGCTAAGATTTCCTATGTTTTACTGTCTAGGCAATAGCCGAAGCACTGAAATAGATTGCATTACCAGGGAGAGACTACAACAAAAAGAAAAGAAGACAGCAAAGTTGAAGAGGAAATGCTGCCAGCAAAAGTGACACAGAGTGAACACAGAGCTAGGAGAAATCCCAAGGAGATAAATATCAAGGGAGCTAAGAAGAAAATACAATTTTAAGAAGTGGGGAGGTCATTAAGATAAATGCAGTGAAGGACTCAAAGGGGAAAGTCACTCATCTGGGACATTTAGGAGTAAAAGGGGAGTAGAAGCCAAGCTGGCATGAGTAATGCACAGGAATTGAAAAGTGACCATTCTAAACACTGTAGAGGCCAGGGGAAAGGTTTCCCTTTGCTCTCTGAAGGTTCACTGAGAAATCAATCCACAAAAAGCAGGTTAATTGCTGAAAAAGCAGACAAATTTTATTTAATGTGTACACATGGGAGCCTTCAGAATGAAGATCCAAGGATACAGAGAAAATTGTCTATTTTATGCTTAGGTTCAGCAAAGTATGGAACTGTGTAGAAATATGATTAGACAAAAAAGCATATGCCCTAAACCTAACAGACTGAGTGGGAAAACCTAGCAAGCCCTGTCTGTCTAGATTCTTCTTGGCCTCTCTGAGCATACATTCCTTCCTTTAGGGTATGGAGCAGGTCCTTCTCTGAAATAGGGATCTTATGATCTAAAGTCAAACAAAGTAGGTCAGATGATCTCCTTATGGCCAGTTTTTACACAAAAGGGTGGAGGGAAAGTTAGAGTAATATTTTTAAGTTTTATGATTGGCTTTGGGGAAAGAAGTTCTGGTTTCTATGACCCACTTTGAAGAAAAATTCTAGTTTCTATGGCTAGCCTCAGAGGAGAATGAGACTGAGAGACAGGAAGGCAGGAGAAGGTGAGAGAAAAACTCTTGCTTTTGGGGCCTTCATTTTGGTGCTATTGTTTTCTGAGTTCCTATAGCACCTACTGCTTTTATTCAAAATGCTATGGTGATAGAAGTTAGCAGCACCATTAAGGAGCAATGGGTTTGAGTGCAGCATGCTGTAACTTCTCTAGAATATGGTGTGATTTCTGGCACAGTTTTCAAAATTTTTGCCACACGAAGGCACATTTTATGTAGATCCCTGTTTCCTACTTGAGAATGGTGATGACCACAGGCATCTCATTCCAGAAATAGGTTTCACTAAACCATCGTTGACTACCATAGACATATTTTAATGGTTTGGCCTTCAACTCTATATAAATTTTATCTAATTTCTAACATGATCTCAATTTAACCTCCCACAAGGCACTAGTTCTTCCTGAAAACGCTTTTAATTCCTGCCATAAAATCTCCTCTCTAGCTTACAGGGTTGTGTAATGAGTACAGGATATATAGTGGCTGTGCAGCAAGGAAGCTGCTCACTTCAGCATCCTCCACACCCGCTTGGCAAGGGGAGGGCGGGTAACGCTTTAAGGATATCCTTTATCGTTTGGGGAGATGTGATAGAAGGCAGGCCGGATGTCTTGCAGGCAGAGTGAGCACAAGGATGACGAATGAATAAGCATGAAAAACGGACACTTGTCAGCTAGGCGTTAGATGCAAAACAGAAGGTTCAGAATAATGTGGACATTCCTGTCAGGAAAAAAAAGATGAATTTCTGCCCTTGGAGGACCTTTAGGATTCTACATATTTGTTTTCTTTCCTTTAGTTCCAAGGCTGCTACTAAAATAAGTATGAAGTTCTTTCTTTATAATCTAGATTACTTTTGCAAAGCCATTTTGGCCTCTTGTGATTTAGTCATTGATTCTACCAATTAAAAGAAAAATCAGCTTTTGTCATATGCATGCATTCAGAAAGATGTTTACTTAAGAATATTAATATTGGCTTACTAAATACAATTAGCAGATGTTGAATTGACTTGAAACAATATGGATTTCTATTTACCATTTATATATAATCAGAGAAAGTCTTTTTGAACACACATGTGCACACATGAAATCTCGGTTTCTTATTGTAGAATTCTGAGGCTTTTAATGGTTTTTTTGCACAATAATATTGTGGTTAAAAAATTACCTGTGAGCCGGGCCCGGTGGCTCAGCCTGTAATCCTACACCTTTGGGAGGCTGAGGTTAGTGGATTGCCTGAGCCCGCGGGTTCGAGACCTGCCTGGGCAGGCAAGACCTCATCTCTATAATAAATCAAAAAAAATTAGCTGGGCATGGTAGCGCGCACCTGTA